GTAATATATCTCATGGCAATTGTATTATGTTACCCATATAAGGAAATGTTTAACAAGCAGCACATATTTTTCTGACATTAATAGCAAGTTGTTTATAATATTGAATTTCTCTTAAATTATATACTATATACCACTAGTTAGAAGAAATATCTTTTCCAAGAATTGATTATTATAAGCTAGTCGCATCATTCGCATTGCAGGGTGGTAGCTATAGAAAGGGGTGGGTTAATAATTGTATGTGAAAGGTCATGAAATTAGCTTAACTGGGTGGAAGTATGCCCCCCCCCCTTATAACTACATCCCTGTCATTGTTGGTCCAAGATACATTATTAAGGAAGAACACTCTACCAGTCCAGTGCCAATATGCACAGTTTAGTATAATGCAAATATTACAAGATTGAGATTTACTACTGTATATGTTGGTCTATGCTGTCAAGGACCAAGCACTTCACATATCACTTGGCTGGCACATACCATTTTAGTTTTATTTAATATTTTTCCAATATTAAAAAAAAGTATTGAATGTTATTGACTATATAATGTGGATTGTTGTAAATGTTTTGTTTAGAACCAAAAATGATTTTCTCTCAGGCTAAGGGAAAAAAAAAACCATGACTACAAAACCTTAAAGGAACAAACTTATACATCTTAATTGCCTGTAAGCTTTTGTTGTTTAACAAATCAATTATTGTGTTGATAAAACTGGTGAAAAACAAAAACTAAAAAATAAATGAAGTATGAATAACAGTATAATGTGGATGGTTTCGTTCTTGATTTTTAGGCCATCCGGGAGAAAATAGAGCAGTTGGATTTTAGGGATTGCCATACCAAGATCAAGCAGGTTGACAGCCATGCTACTGTAGGAGACGGAGTTGTCGTACAGGTACGTTTATTATCATCATCATCATTATTTTTATCGTAATGGTCATCACCATTGTCTTTGTTGTTGTCATTCTTTATATGACTAATCTTCTATTCCAAAAAACAATGTCCTGGTAAATGTGGTGGTATGGAAATTTAAAAAAATTTGTTTTGCTTTCAAATACAATGGCTGACTTTACAGTTTGGCAATTTATAATCACAAGTCTCATACATTTCATTCTTACATAATTTGTAAAAAAGTTATTGATACTCTAAATTTTCTCAAGTATATAACAATTTTAATACAACAAAATATATAATTTCAAATTTTAAACCTATCATGGAACTTATATTTAATGATTTTATGAGAAATTATATTAATATTGACATTGGGAATTATTTATTTTTCACAGGTGAGTGGTGAATTGTCGAACAATGCCAAGCCGATGCGTCGCTTCATGCAGACGTTTGTCCTTGCTCCGCAGACGGCAAAGAACTACTACGTTAGAAACGATATATTCCGTTACCAGGATGAGGTCTTCAACGACTCTGAAGACTCTGAGACGGAGAATGTTGAAGAAGTGCCAGCAAGTAAGTTTACTAATTCTTACCATTTTTTACTCCCAACATTTTCTAATATTAGTTTAATCAAAACTTTAATACTTTTACTAAAACTGTTACTAAGGCCAACTGGGTTTATTAGAACCTTTTTTTTTGTTGCATTGCTTATCATTTGAAATGGTTGTAGTGTTTTTAGAAGAAAAACTAAATGAAATGATTATATACTTTCATGTTCAGTCTCTGAAAATGATGTTGAAGATGTAGCTGTGGCCCAGGCAACTATCCCAGAGCCAGTGCAAGATCCTGCTGTTACTTCTTACTACGAACCACAACCTTCTACAGTCAGGTAAATTGAGATTTACTTTATTTGCGAATTCCTTGCATAGTTTCTCCTACAATTATACCATATTTGCCATCAATTTTTTTTTTTAATCAAATGGTCAAATTAAATGTAGTTATTTTGGAGCTTTGGAATACATTGCCTCTTTTGTAAAAAAAATTTAAAAAATAGATTTGAATATTAGTGCACATGCATTAATTCATTATTTTCATCGTTTTTAGAAAAGGAGTACAAAATATATGCTAGGGAAGCGCTAGTAGTGTAGTGCATGCACTCATTTATGCTTGATTATTGTCAATTCCATATATAATATTTTCAGAAAGGAGTACACACACTATTGTCCCCTTCCCTCTAGCATATGTTTATTATTATTCTTGTGAAAATGAAGGGGAGAATGGATGAACTCAGTGGATGGATGGATGGATGGATTAATCATAACAACAATTTTCACTAAAACTAGTTTGGCTAATTTACTCATGATTAACATTAACAACAATTGTCACTAAAGCTAGGTCAGTTACATTAATCATGATTAACATTAACAACAATTGTCACTAAATCTTGATCAGTTACATTGCTCATGATTAACATTAATAACGATTGTCACTAAAACTAGATCAGTTACATTACTCATGATTAACATTAACAAAAATTGTCACTAAAACAAGTTTGGTTGCATTAATCATAATTAACATTAACACAAATTGTCACTAAAACCAGTTTGTTTGCATTAATCATCAATGCTAACAATTTCTACTAAAACTAGTTTGGTTACGGTAATCATATCAAATGTTTTCCTCTAGTAATGGTATACCTCGCATTGATAGTCCTGAGGTGATGAAACCAACCGAGGATGAGGAAGTGGCCAGCGAGCCATCCAGCTCCGGAGAGCAGCCTCCAATCCCAGACCCAGTCGTTGAGAACCACACTCCCGAACCTGAAGATGAGGACCCTGGGGAGGAGAAGGTACTGAAACCTGTCTCATGGGCTGAGCGAGCTCGGGGTGGTGCGCCTCCTGTCCATAATATTGCAGTCGTTAACACAGTGCCTGGGAAATACACTTCGGTAAATAAACTCATAATAATAATATATTTGTGACTGTAATCCTCATCTGGTGATTGGTGTTTTTCTTTGCCTTATTTTTATCTGTCAGCTCTTGTAGGATTAACGTAAACTATCTTTTTTTTTTTTTTTTTTTTTGTGAGGCTTAGGTGAGGAGTTGCTTCTAGCTGTAAGAAATGTTTCTGTTTTCATTGACAGGGGATGGTGCATCAGCCTTGCCTCCACACATGTATTTAAATTTTTAATCATTACTGAGATTAATTAATGTAATAAATGATTGTATTTTCTAAACTATTAGGTCAATCTGCCATTGCATACCTATTCATCATTATTTCATTGTGCTTATTACTTATTCATGATATGTAATCTATCTGGAATTCTTAATTAGCACTTTATTTTCACTGCATACATGAAAATGGTTGTTTTAGGCATCCTAATATAATAAAACTGAATTTAGGTATACATTACATATTAAAAATAATGTTTTCTGAGAGAGAAGGAATAGTATTTATTAACAATAAAAATGAATGAAGGCACTGATTCAAACAATAAATAACTGAAATCTTTGTTTTTATCTTTGTAGCATACACCACCAGCCCCAGTTAGCGCAAAACAAGAGGTGGCCCAGTCTTCACGCAATGACCCACTGCCCCAACGCGAGGTGCGCTCTAAAGACCGTGGCAGTCGTGGAAATCCTCGACGTTTTCCTGACAACCAACAACTGTTTGTTGGCAACCTCCCTCTTGATGTTGAAGAGGAGGAACTTAAGCAGTTCTTTAGCTGTAAGACATCATTTAAAATACAATTATATGTAATAATATTAATTTAAAATATTCATTAATAGCATCTCTTGGCTTTGTTTTCTTTGTCAAGCATGGCATAACATATCTACACCTACATGTTAATATAACATTCAGTATGTCATATACAAAACTGAGATGTGTATTATCAAAACAGATATGAGCTGACTTGATATAACACTAGGAAAGCTAGTATGAAGGCCTTGTGACAAGCTGATAGTCATGCCTGGAAAAAAATGTTTTTGACTCCGACCATGTAAATTGTCTGATAAAATGCCTCCAATACCAAATGTCCTCCAGGACATTCATGATGACTCCGACTGCCGGTTGCGCAATTTTTCCAGTTCTGTTGATAGTAGGGTATAATATTATAATATTGTTCATTTCTTATTCCTTGTCAGCTTATGGCCAGGTGTTGGAGACCAGGATCAGTAAGAATACCATGGGAAAGATCCCGTACTTTGGCTTTGTAGTTTTTGAGACTACTCAACCAGTGCAGAACCTATTGAAAATGGCCAAGCAACAGGTATGTCATTGTTTCCAAGTATATTTGGAATAAAGAATAGAATAAAGAATAGATTAGAATATAATATAATGGAATATTGTTGAGAGGCTAAACCTGAATATACCTTTTATATTACAATAACATAGTTGATATTAGTTTTTGTGTCTATGCACCCTACAGTGTTGCCACCAGGACCTGCCTGTCGGGGGAGGGGCCCTAAATGGGCTAGATGAGCGAAAGCAACCCTCATTTGGCTGGGATCCGGGGGGGGGGGCGGCGACCGGTGCGAGTCCAGGGGCCAAACCCCCTGAAAGCTACAGCTATTTAATGAATTTTAGTGAATTTTTGTTAGTTATTTGATAGGCATTAAGCTACTGTAATATGACTTCATGTATGTTTTCTAATGTCAAAATTAACTTCCAAAACCCCAAATTTTTGAATAAAACGAGAAACAAAAAGACGTATAGGCCATGATCTTATTAAACTGTATGTACCTCATTTCTGTATTTTTGGAATGTTGAATTTTAGGAGCAAATCTTGTTCCGTGGAACTCACCGGCTTAATGTCGAAGAAAAGAAGCCCAGAGGATCGGATTCACGCCCACGCGGACGTGGCAACGAACCCCGCTTTGGTGGGCCCCCAAGAGGTGGTGCTTCTGGCCGAGGAGGTGGACGTGGAAATTCAAGTGGAGTTGGAAAGGGAGGTGGATCATCCGGTGGACGAGGGTTCAATCCTCAGCGTTAACCAAGTGGATATGGTGCTCGTCAGCCACAATCACAAAGCATGAAAAGCAAAACAAAAAAAAAATAAACAAAATAAAATAAAGACTTTAAATTAAATCTCTGGAAACCCGCATTCATTTTTTTACAGTGAAGAAGAGCGAAACTAATAAAATCGTGGAAGAGGCAGTGTGTGCATTCGCATAGACAAATGGCGGTTGTCACCCGCTTGTAGCAGCTATTTTCCGACATTTCTTGTTATTGTCACATGTTGTGTCGTTTGTTGCCTAGATACTGAGATATCGATTCCTCTATTGATCTCAATCTGGTATTAGACAGAATAGCAGCAGCATGTATGAGAAGTTTTTGGTACTTTTTTGTTGTCCTGTTCCTGACAGTTATGGGTCAAAGGTTAAAGGTTGTTGTCAATTGTGATTCATGTCCGTTGCTACAAAATATCTTGTGTAGAAACTTAGGCATAACCAAGGTTAAATCAGGGAGGTAATGATGTTTTCAGCCCACATCTATGGTACATTATTTTGTTCCAGTGTTTTCTTTACAGATGGAATGAAACAGGTAATAAATAACAGAGACATAATAAGTCTTAGAAATTAAAAACTATCTAACTCCTGGTAATATCATTAGGTTTAATCTATATTTTTGGGGTTTTGAAATGCCTAAGTACAATTCATAATGTGAACTCTGAGGAGGTGGTGATAGTGATGAAATAGACTGTGAATGCATAGTAAATGCTGTAGTTAAAATGTAATGCAAGTTGAAAACTTACTCTTAATATATGAAACTTGTAAAAATATGGAGGAAATCTATGCCTTGTTAATATGCATATGATTAACATTCGTTGGTTAAGACAATTGAGAACCATGTCAAATACGGCTTATGGCTGTCTAATTTTTATACCCTTAATAAGCCATTGTATCTTAAAATAGTTTGATTCTGTGCCTGGGTTGCCTTAGGTTGTTGGTTGTTAATTGTGGCCAGGGAGTTGTTGAATACTTTACAATGAATGAAATAAACATGCATATGATAATGGCCACATGATTTGGCTGGGTTTGTATTGGTAGTTATGTAGAAATCATTCATGCACACTTTGTAGCAAATATATTATCTTTATTATTTGCTGTGGCCATAAATAACATGGAAATAGGATGGAAATATTGAAGCATTGCTAAATCAGATGTTTTATTTATATTTACGGATTCAACCATAAGTACTTTGGACATAAGGCTGTTGCCCTCTGTTAATGTCAATTATAACACCAGTGTGTACTGTACATATAAACAGATAAAAAGGTTGTCATGACGATGCTGTCTCGTTTCTTGAAATTAGTCTCAAGATGAGGCAAGATTGAGTTCAGAAGACTTGTTTCTTTTGAAGATGAAAGATTTCATGTAAATTTGAGCCTGTTTGCCACAGTAGATTATGCTTTAGATATTTTTTGGGGCAATAATTTATATACTGATAAATAATTCCGGTTTATTATTTTATGTTTTTTACCTAGGCAACCATATTTCCACTTAGAAATTGGACCAATGGTGATAGTAAGGTTACTAATATTACCATCGTGGACTCCTCAACTGGGTGGAATTTCTGAAATAATTCATTAAATCTTTTTTTTTTCATTACTGTAACTTGTGATATTTGTACTTTTTTAATCAATAAAATATACCCATGCCAAAGGTTGAGTAGTCCATTACGATGAAATTAAATAAGTTGAGTTGTTTTTTGGTTTTTATATTAATTTTTTTTTAGCAGTTATGATTGCTAATGATTAAAAAACAGAGATCGAAATACAATGTTACTATTTTTGAACAGTTTTACTGAATAATTGAAATGAGTTCAAAATAATGTTACTGTACTGTTTTTTTAATTTGTTTTGAGATAAAATGTTGGCTTTGGTCTGGAAACTAATAGCACAACATGTGCTATTTTCACGATGAGTTTATTAAATCGTAATATACTTTAATACAAGGAAGTTCTTACAATATGCACGTTGGCGTGTGAATATCCATCGTTATTAGCAGACAACACGCGAGTATGTCATGGCCTCGTCGGAAGACGAAGATTTGGAGTTTAGAATTAACAGCGAATTCGCTGAAAAGTATGATTCTTGGAGAAGGAAAGAAGAACTTCAAAAACGTAAAGTAGTTTTATATACTTGTTAATTTGTTGCTAAAACTTCGATGACACGGCTAGCCTAGGCCAGGCCCTTCTTTCTACACTGACTGAGAGGCCGCTAGCTCGCCAGGCAGGTATTTCTAGGCCTAGGCCTAGCTAGGCTACACTACATAGGCATAGACCTATGAAAGCCAGGCCCTAAGCCTAGGCCTAGGTAAGGGATTAATGTGCTAATGAACTTTAGTACTCCATCCTACCCCTAACCTTAACCTCAACGGCGCTAGTGCACTTTTGCACACTACATCCAAAATCAAAAGCTACTAGGCCTAGCTAGGCCTGGCCCCTAGCTAGCCTAGTCCTAGGCCTGAAATATTCATAGACATGCATAAATGGCTTGATATTGTCGATTTACCGTAATATTACACTATTTTAAGCCTCTTGTTATAAGTAAAATCTTGTTCATTCTCACACCCGACGTCCGACTAATTTGCTGGCCATCTTGAATAAATCTAGTGGGAAGGGGGTCCTGACCCTCTTCTTGGGCAAAAGAAAAAATAATAAAAATTCTATACATTTTTCATGACCTGTGCACTTACAGTGGGATTAGAAGTCGAAATAACTACCGGTGCATACATAAATACATAATAGGCCTATTTACTGTAATAAGAATGAAAAAAATATTGAACCATTTTCAAGTCAAGAGAGAAGCAAACCTTGAATTTAGAAGAACTTAAAAGTAATTAAAAGACACTTCAGTCGGGGAAGCTCATTTCCCACCAGCTAGGAATCAAAATTTTCCCCCCGGGTTCTCTTTGGAGATCATAGATTCATGGAAAAAGAATACGATATGCAACTACTCAATTTTCTTTATGTACACACATAGGCTAGGCATATTGACTGTAATAAGAATGAGAAAGTTTACCTGACTGTTTTTAAGAGGGCATAAAACCTTGAATTTTAACTTAAAAGTCATTAAAAGACATTTCAAAAGACACATTCCTATCTAGGAATTTAAATTTTCCTGGGGGACCCCGACCCCCCTCCTTTTTGGTGTTTTTTGAAAATATTTTGACCCCCATCCCCCGAAAATTTCAACCCAGATCCGCCCCTGAATCGTATTAATTACCGTACGGTATATGGGACAATATATACATACAGGCTTAGGTCTAGCAATCGCTTTAAAGCCAAAGAGTACATAGCTAGACATTTTAGGCTCCGCTCTGGATATACAGTAGTAGCCACAGTGTGAAACTGTCTCGTATTTAAGAAGTTCATTCTAGGATCACTGTGCGAAATTAAAACCAAACTGTGTATAGCCGTGCCCAGTGATTATAACTGCCTCGTATTTATGAAGTTCTTCCTATTTCTTATCACTCTGCGCAATTAGAACCAAACTGGGTATAATAGCGCACAGTGTTAAACTGCCTATTTATGAAGTTCTTCCTATTTCTTATCATTGTGTGCGCAATTAGAACCAAAAAGGGTATAGTAGCGCACAGTGTTAAACTGCCTCGTATTTATGAATTTCATCCTATTTCTTATCAGTTGTGCGCAATTTGAACCAAACTGGGTATAGTAGTGCACGGTGTTTAAACTGAGACTCTCTAAACTACCAGTTTTAAGAATTCATTTTGATAGACTCTTTTTCCAGAAGATTTTGAAATTCTGACATGTCTCTGGTAACCAACATTTATTCAAGATGGCAGCGAATTAGTCGGACGTCGGGTGTGAGAATGAACGAGATTTTACTTATAATAGAGGCTTAAAATAGTGTAATGTTACGGTAAATCGACAATATCAAGCCATTTATGCATGTTTACGAATATTTTATAATAAATTATAGTAGCTTTTGATTTTGGATGTAGTGTGCAAAAGTGCACTAGCACCAACCTCAACTCCAGTCTTGCTATCTTAATGTTGAGGTTAGAGTTGGGTGGAGTACTACTAACAAGCCTACTACTGAAGTGCATAGGCTGTCTCAAAATCTCAGAATTGCTAATTGGACATCGCTGGTATTGGTAACTTCAGCACTTTTGTCCAATTTGTTTTGCTGCTTGTGTGCTGATGGAGTTTGACAAGGCAAAATCAAATGGTTATTGGTGTTTTTAAATCAATAATCTTAACAGCGACGTATGAACAAGCTAGGTAATGCATATGTGGCAAAGACAAGCCAAACCAGTCACTCGTCGCAAATCGTGTTTCAGAGAAATTGGCCAAAACATGCTGGAATGTCAAATTTTTAAAAATCTATTTTATTGCATTAAACTAACCTTTATATATCTACACATCATTCTATGCTGTTATTTTCCCCATTTTCAATGTTAAAACAATATTTTATAAGGATTTAAAGATAGTTTCTGCATGAGAAATGCCCGAAATCATAACCTTTGACGGTTAATTTCTCATATATTGTTCTTTAAACAGCTGTGTGCTTAAACGCTAGTAACTTCATAAGGAAATGTCCGATTTGAATGATTTTTTTACCATTTTATAGCTATTATTTTACTCTCTAACACTGTATTAATAACTCAAAATCGATTTTTGCGACGAGTGACTGGTTTGGCTTGTCTTGCCACATATGATTGCCCCAAAAGTGATAAATCCCAACAATATGTCGTACATGCAACAATACCGAGCCTGCCAGTGCCATGTTTCGCTAATAACTTTGCAATAAACAAACGGTTGTAATTAAAATTTTACATATAATCACAATATCACTTTATACAAACCTGCAAAATTTCAAAAGGGTACAACAATTTATTGTAAAGTTACGAACATGCAAACTTTAACTCTATTTTTCTCCAAAAGTAATTATTATGATGTGGATGTTTACATTTAGTACCCACTATATGTCACATGACCAGTAATAGCTGGAGGCACCGATTCGGTGTATTACTATATTATTAATTTGATTTCATATTTTTACAACCTAAAATAGTGAAAGACCGGTATGGAGATGACGGTGCAGATCTTACTTCAAGCTCATCAGAGTCTGAAGATGAAGATGCTGAGGTGAGTGTGGCTACTGTTGTCATAGCAATCTTATTGATAACGTCTCATGGTATAAAGCAAAAAATTATCACTTTGATTTTCAAAGGTGATGAATAAGTTGTAAAAGTATTCTCTTATCAGTTCCTTGGTTGATGTAGTAAGTGATTGACTGATTGATTACAGTACTGTAATTGATAAATTGAATGATGATCATCAGGTAGTCATGATTGAAACATACTGTAGACATTTGCTAACATTTAAATTGATTTTGCAATATATATCGCCAGTGGGTAAGGCAACAGTGTTTTTCAGTTATTAAGAGATGTAAGAACAAGAGCAGAATTACAAACTATGTTATATTCTCTATCCAGAGAGCCAGACTCTTTTAGTAATGATTACACACACAGTATGAAGTAACCAGTACAACACAAGTGCAGTAACTCTTATCTTAACTAGTCTCCCATGCAAGTACATACGATCCATCTCTCACCTCTTCTCATAGAAGGACCATGAGGAGAGGGAGAGAAGGCCCAACCCACTTGACAGCAGCAGTAGCGCTGGCAGCCAAGGTAGAAAGGAAGGATTTATTCCCAGACTAGCATTTATACAGGGATACCATCAGCCAATCAGACTAAGGGACCAATCACTAGGTATTTCAGGGCTGTCCCATTAATTAAACCTCTTGCCTAAAAAGAACTGTTACAACAGAATGGCTAATTTCGTTACAATGTCAATGTCAGTATTTATTTTTATAGCAAGAGTAGAAAAATAGTAATAATAAAGCCGTTAGTTTGATAACTAAACAAGTTACAACTGACACTGACAGTGAAAATTAAAAAAGCAAACACAATAACAATTTGGATGAATTGTAAATATGTAAATATTAATATATTATTTGATGCCATGAATTAAAATACAAAAATGTAATTAATTCCTTGACTCCAGGGAAGAGACTATTGTCAAGTTTGGTACTTGGTTTCTAATATTGCATCTTCAATTGAATTTTAAATTCAATTATTATTTATTAAGTAATTAATTAATTGTTTATTTCTACTAATAGGCCTTAACGCCTCAATTGGAAAAGGATTTTCTGAAGACACTCTCTTTCGTCAAGAGCCACGATCCAAAGATTTACAAGAAAGATGCAACCTTCTACCATTATGAAGGTATTTATTTGACTTTGTGCTCGTTCATTGGTGTTACTGTGTACTGTATGTTTATACATCTGTAATTCAGCAAAAAATGGAATTGTGCAAATATCTTTATTTGAATTTTTCTTTTACTGTTGTACCACAATCAGCATTTCTTAAGCATTTTGTTAGGTATTTTTTTCATTATTTATAATCATTTTTATTGCCATTCTTGTTAGGTATTTAATTTAATACCTGTAATATTATTATAATTTTTTAGACGATGCAGCACAACCACAGAAGAAAAAAGTCAAAAAAGAAAAGCCTATGTATTTAAAAGATTTAGAACGCAAGCTGATAATAGAGAAGACTGGTGAATTGAGTGATGAAGATGAGGAGAATGAAGAGGATAATAGAAGGCCCTGGTCACCTACTTATGTTGAGGAACAGCAGATACTTAAAGACAGGTAAATTCTTGCATTCAAAATTACAATTCCTTACAGTCCAGTCAAAAATCACCTTAACCATTGTATAAGCTCCTACCTCAATGAAACTCAAACCGTCCTTCATATATTGGAAAGATCATATCTTGATGTTGTGTTGTTCAAAAAATGGGATTTAAGGAAAAAAATGCAAGTTTTATAACCATATTTTAGCCGCTAATCACCGTTGATTGATTACCTCGAGAAGTGACGTCACAAGGCTAAAATAACGATACTCCATTTGCGTCTCTACAAAACCTATTAGCTAAACGATACGTTCGCTAATAATTACCAGTATCACAATGACTTTTGATACTGTATAAATACGTAAATATGACAATATATTTTTAATCATACAAATCTCCAAAAATAACCATAAATACTTGTGTCTTGAAAAAATAATAAACATGGCCTTCCATATAAAATAAACTACACCCTCAGTCGGATCAATATTTTTAAAAATTTAAACAAGCGAAGTGTCTGTGGTACCCAAGCAAGGTGAAAGTAAAGTTTGTATGTACCTAGCCTACTACTTGATCTTTCAATTTTATTTTCAATTCAAAATAAAACCAGCCAAACCTATATAAAGAAAAACCATAGTGTATAGCTTATACAAAATTATGTCAATGTTATTGATTGCCTCGATGTTCATAATAACTAAGCGTGACCCACTGGATTATACCTGGGGAATCCCATGTGCATGAACAGAACGAAAATGATGATTGTTTTGCGAGGTGGCAGAAGCATTAGAACAACATGGCCTATCTAAAACTAACTACCGGTGAAGAAATAAGAGTTAACTTGAACATCAAAGGGAAGGGAACATCCTAATTTGTAGGCCTAAGTGGCTAACTAGAGAGTCCACATCTTGGGCTTACCTCGAGCTAGGCCAGCCATTTCCTAAACTTTCTTGACGTAGGTTATTTTTTGCCCAGCAACAACCAATCCAACCAACCACCCATCGCATTTGAAGACCTCCCACTTGTAATGCATGATGTAACAAGTTATTTTTAGCACCAATAGTCTCTGTGAAACATGCCCACTGGGCGGGTTTTTTAGGGACGGCCTGCGGTGTTGTTGATTTTTAGCCACAGCTGTTGAACATGTGAGTCTTCGCGGTGTGAGTTAACGATCGAATCAGCCTCTTGTCCGTGCCTCTTTTTTCTTTTAAGCTTTATATTGAATTGTTTTTACAGCTTTAAAACAGCACTTGAAGACACTGACAATGAGGAGGATGGAATCATACTTAAAAAGAAACACAAATCAATCAAAGACCAGGTAAATCATAATTTATCCTTTATTTTTTCATATTTGTTTATAAAAATCTGATTTCCTTTGTGCCTTATATGTGTAGTCTATATTATAAAAAAACAAAGTATTACTTAATATATGAAATAAAAAAACAAAACTTGTATTATTGAATTTAATGAAAATGTAATGCAACATCCTAAATTATTTGATTATTTAAAAATGATTCCAGCTGAACTTTTGATAATTTTGAATGAATATGTTCAGGTATTGTTCTCCTGAAAATGTCAAAAAAGTCACGAAAATTTTGATTTCACATCAACATTATTATTTTCACAACAGGCAGAGGAAGAAGCTGATTATATTAGTTGGTTAAAAGGTCAGACGGATAGAACAGTGGACCCTATCCAAGAAATGGTATGACTCAAGTTGATATGAAATAATGGCCGTATTCGACTGGTTATTTTTCGTTAAACCCACACCCACCTGTGCAGCAGTAAAATCCTACTTAACGAAGACGACCATTCGAATAGAAAACTTAAAATAAATACTTGACAAACCAAAATGGTTGCATAGTTAACACGATACACGCTGTGTAATCAAGATTGCTTCAGCTTGTGCAAATATGGGTTTTTTTCGTAAAAAAAAAATTTTCATCCAGTTTTTGAATTCTGTTGGGGTACAATTATTTTTTGACTTCATGTGGGTAAATATTGTAATTTTTATTTTAATTTAATCTAAATTATAATAACACAAATGTTGTTTCTAAACTCACCAATCAGCCATGTTTGTTTTGGTCACGTGAATAACTTAACGCTGATTAACGCACTCTGGTTTATGTTAATTTTTGTTGTCAACAAAGTCTATTTACAAACCAGTCGAATGAAAATAATACTCAACGAAAATTCGTAGTCAACAAAATGAACCTGTCGAATACAGCCAATGTTTATTCCTTTTTTTCAAATAACCCTCCATTAGAATATTGTTACTGAAGTCCCACAAACAGGGACTAGTTTAGAGCTATGTTTAGCACACTCACGGGAATTTTTATTACAGGTCTTCACTTGATTTGTAGAAAAACTAAACTGAATAGTAACTGTCAGATCAGACTTTAGATAAACAAAATTATTAGTAATAGTTTGAATATAGTTACAACAATATTCCAAAATGACGTTTTTGTTTTCTTTTTGTTAGAGTGCACTGAAGCAGTACTGGAACGATCCAAATTTAGATGAAGGTGAACAATTCCTACGAGATTACATTCTCAATAAAGGCTACGTAGATAAAGACACTGAAGACAAGTAAGTTTTAACCACTGAATGCCTAATAATAACAAAAAGATAGCAAGAAATAAAATACAGTTATATATATGTATTAAAAACTATACATTTGCTTTTCTTGATGATACAACATTATGCAGTACATCATTGTTGAATTGATTTGTAGTTGAATATTTGGTAAAGAGTATTTGCTAAAGCAATGGTGTGGTACATACACCTCAAAAAGTCCTAGAAGTCCTAGGCATTATGCGGTATATAAATGTAATATTATTTTGGTTGGTGGTGGGGGGTTGTCCATACTGGTTGCTTTGATTACTTTGGTATTCCTCTAGATCATATCAGTAAAGATGTAAAATGTAAGAATGTTTATGATTGAGCACACATAAATGTTATCAAACTCAGCTTTTCTGCTTTATCCCTTCTTGTTCTTTTCTTCAATTTAGTGTGTTAATTTATTTAATTCTGTGTGATTTGTTTGGTAAAATCTTAGTTTGCCCAGCTTCCATGAGATTGCTGAGGATGAAGTGGAGTTCTCAGAGGAGGAGAGATTACTTGAGGAGCAAGATGATTTTGAGCGAAAGTACAATTTTAGATTTGAGGAACCAGATTCTGACTTTGTAAGTTGCTGTTTTTCCTTTTTTATATTTATTATCTAATATGAAATAATTTATAATAGTTATTTTCTGTTCATTATACCTCTAATATCTTAAATTACTATTCAAATATTCATTGCTGCATATTTTATTTGCTAAATTGAGTTAAATGCAAGATTTAATATTTTCATTTGAAATAAAAACTGGCTTTGTTTTTCTCTGAATTAAAAAATTACATAGTAAATGCAGTTAGTTGGTTTCGCTATTTTTATACTGTACTATATATTTATATTGATTAGAATAAAAATGAATTGAATTGAATTGGTTAAGACTGTTGTTATCCCATGTAAGTATGGAGATATTTTTTGTTCTGGTTAACTGTTGATTCTGCTTTAAAATACAGATCAAACGTTACCCAAGAACAGTAGGGGAATCAGTGAGAAGAAAAGATAAAAAGAGAGCAGATAAGAGACAGGAAATCAAGACAAGAAAAGAAGAGGTTTGTGTTACAATGGTTCTCAGTAAAGTCATGGAACATAGGCCAAGGAATGCCACTACCGATATTAAGTGCTGTCTTGTTTAGAGTTTTAAGAAAAGACAAACCTATATACAAACATATGCTGCAATACTTTCGTTGATCGATAAATGGACCAATAGAGGGATTTGGCGATGGGCGTCACATGACCTAACTTGGGTGTTGGATGTAAACGATGGTCTGGTAAGCGGAGATTGCTATGGTGGCTGTGTCATGTTATTGCTGTAAAGATCATCATAATTTCTGTATTTGTTCTTTTGAACGTAATGCAAGTTATTTTAAGTCGATTTTTGAAGTCTCTAAATTCACCACACAAATTTTGTGTGACTTGTCATCCAAGGAAATTTGAGATTCTTTGACAGATGTTAGCCCCTGAATATCTACGGCCTGTTTAGGTAGGCACGAGAGTCTTTGACCCGCGGACTACGCTACTATTTTTAGGCTAGCTAAGGTTTACGAAGGACCACATAAATTTCAAAGCATACAATACGAGAACGCTAGAATAAGTAAATAAACACTATTTTGAAAAATCGTGCCTTTTCTTCCCATTTATTTCTCACGTTAACAATGGGTGGTTGTTTTTGAAACCATAACATTACCTTTTCCTATACATTCCCACTGATTGTACTGTAATGTTTTCCATGGTACGCCCACCGTAGGTCACGTGACTGGCTGTAAACAAACATCGCCGAATCCCTCTATTGATCGTTATATCATTTAGGCTACTTATTTTAACATTGTATTTGTATGATGTGATGTTAGTGTAAGTGATTGTTTCAATAAGTATATTTTTATTTTTAATCCTTAAACAAACAACCGGAATTTCACTTTGTATATTTTACTGCATTTGACAATAAAGATTGTATTGAATTGAATAGGTGTAGTTTAAAAATAGATTTATATTTTTTTCAACATTAACAGAAAAAACAAAAAATGAAAGAAGACTTGAAACAACTGAAGAACTTAAAGAAGAAGGAGATTATAGATAGACTTGAGAAGCTGAAGCAAGTGACAGGAAAATTACCTGTTGATTTTGAAAACGAGGATTTGGAAGGGGATTTTGATCCTGATGAACATGATAAACTGATGCAGGTGAGTGCATATTTGACTAATACTGTTTACTAATTTCTTGCCAAAAGACCGCCGATTATAATGTTTATATAGTTATATTGGAGTGGAGTTGAATAGCTCAGTGGTTAAGATGCTTGCCTTCTGATCCCAGGGTCCTGGGTTCAATTCCTGTCACAGCAGGACTTTTTCTCACGACCAAAACAACTTCACGCCCTAAGCCTCATAAAGGGACTTAGTTTATAAAGCATCATTCTCATCCTGTAAGTGGCGAGTGTACTTGCTGTTGGATGTGAAGGAAATAAAAAAAAAAAAAAAAAAAAAAATTTTAATCAGTCTATTAAAGATAAAAATAAAATCTGTATATCATTAACCGCTTACAAGCTTTTTGTGTCAGTTCTACACCATATCAAAAATTATTTTTCCTCTGGAGCCTTTAAGCCAGAGACTTTAATCCTCTACCTACTTTAAGCCCAGTAGGTAGAAGATAATCCATATGTATGACCACTGTGTTATTAATGAATGCTAATTATTCTAATTTTACACCAGTACTTGGTGGATTGGTTGTATACATAAATAGGCATGATGATATCTGATAAGCCTCTACACACTTGTCATTGTTATCAGAAGTAAATGTATTTGTTGCTGATTAAAAACCAAAGAGCCTGTACTTGTAAATTTCTGATATTTCTATATACCGTAAATGCTTGAATAACCACCGCTCTCGTATATGTGCTGCACCAAACCTGATTTTGCTACTAAGCACTGTTCTCGAATAAGCATCTGTGTGTAATGAAACACTTTGAGAAACAGGGTTTTAAATACAAGGTATACAGTGTTAGAATGAATAACATAATGAAGACACAAGTATTCTTTATAAACATTTATTTATGATGACGTAGGACCTATGATAGGCCTACCGAACTACGGAAATATGTGAGATAGGTAACATAGGAACAGGCATGGAAAGTGCCACACCAATATATTTATAAGTGCTGCTCTTGAATAAGAGCAGCTCTCAAATAGGCTGAAGCCTCTAAAAATATTGTAACTGCTGCGGCGCTTATTTGAGCATTTATGGTACTTTATATTTTTAATTTATTGTTCTATTTTTATGGTCATTTTATATTGCTACTTTTTAAAATGTTTCTATTTTAACTTGTAATTTACATGCAATTTGCCCTCCAGGCCACAGTATTTGGAATTTTTAAATAAAATTGAATTTAATTAAATTATTAGGGTTAACACTTCTATTGGCATAATAAGTGTGTTTCATACTCAAAATGGTGACCATTATACATTTTTGTACTTGATTTTTATTGTAGAGAATATTTGATGATGGATATGAAGAATGCTGTGAAGATGAAACCAAACCTGAATTCAATGATGAAGAATTAGATTTGGGTGAGTTTATTTTGCATTTATAATATATTAAGCTATTTATTTTGTTTTTGTGTTATAAGTACCTGACCTGATGTTATCAATTCTAATGATAAGCAACCACAATATTTACAATGTTTATTTGGTGTGGTTTACAAATAAGCCTTGAAATACTCGCACTAGGCCTGAAATATAGTATGTACTACTTGACAGCCTGTTGCCAATGCAAGCTATGATACCTACAGTAAAGCCTTGTTCGCACTGGATTTAAAAAATGGTAAATTTAACCAGGGTAACTTTAACCAAAGTCATGGGTACATTTCACCATTGTTCGCACTTGGATTATTCACGCTGTTAGTTTTACCATAGTTTTACCAAGATTTAACCTTGTGTATAATAAATATTATTGAGGGCGCTAGTTTGTGACTTCAACTTCCGGTTTTGTTCGAGCGGTGTCAACATGGAAAAAGATTTAACCATGTTGCACGTTCGGATTGGACTTCTTGACCAGCGTGGTTAGTTTAACCGAGACCGTGGTAAGTTTTACTGGGCAGACTGAGGTCGGTAAAATTAACCATTCGGCTTGGTTAATTTAACCCTGAGGGAATTGTAACCGACGTTCGGATTGGATTTTTTTTGGTCAATTTAGCCAGTGACTCGGTTAATTTGACCAAATTAAGTCCAGTGCGATAGGGGCTTAAGCATGGCTGGCCGAGAATTTTCAGCATGTGGGTCAAAATCCTGACCGCAAAGCTCAGTTCCTGAAAGAAAATTCTCTGCCAAACCACCTTATATTAACAGACATTAATAATACCTATATTCTTTTGCATAGACCTTTATATTGGCTGAATTTTTGTGGTAATAAGTATTTATTTTGATATGAGTTTCACTGGAAGTTAATAACTGATCCTTTCAATGAGGTATTTAATAAGTTGATGGATTTTTTGAGAAAATATGAAATAAACTCCAAAACAAAGTGATACAAGCCATTCTAATTCCATATCCTAAACTTTATTTGTTCGTTTTCAGGATAGAAGATGAACTATTAAAATTTAATGAGAGAGTGTAATGCATACCGTACTCGAGCGAATAAGCGCCCGAGCGCTTTTTTTGCACTTTTTGAGGGGCGCTTATTCAAACGGGGTGCTTATTCGAACGGGGCGCTTATAAAAACAGAGTGAAAATTGAGGGGACGCTTATGGAAATAGATGAAAATCGAGGGGTTCTTATGAGAACTTATTAAATCCAAGAGGCACATTTTGAATGAAAAACGGGTCCTACTAAATACCACACGGGACCACTCGCGACCACACGGAACCACTCGCGACCACTCGGGACCAATCGCGACCACACGGGTACAAAAATGATAAAAATATTACCACACGAGAGTAGAAAACTACTTAATAATCAATAGAAACCAACTTTTAGTACGGTAA